CCCCACTCTGTACACTGACTTGGCAACGCCGGCTACCGTCATGGGGGGGGGTTCTACATCACTCGGACGCTTGCCTATGGGGGATTCACTTAGCTCGTGGGACGTCAGAGCCGTCTCGAAGGCGTCTGGCGAGTTGAGCATGAGGTCCACCGCACCCAGCAGGAATTCCTCCGCCTCTTGGCGCGCAGTGTGGGCCTCCTCCGCGCACTCGAAGAGCAACTCTCGCACCGCCCTTGCCTCTAGCCCTTCCGCCACGTGAAGCACCGCCGAGAGCATCCGACTGGTGAACTCCTCCGTGCTGGTGACGGGCAGGCTCGCCGCCGAGGCGAGCAGGGCTTCGGCACCTGTCGGCGACGGGGGCGACTCGTACCTCGGATTTCGGCGAGGGTTCTCCCTAGTGCGGCGGCTGGTGAGTTCCGCCGGCTTGTCGAAGCGGGCGAGCCGCCGGGCCTCTGGCCCACGGAGCGCCGGGAGATCAGTCTCGCTGTCGCTGCCACTGCTGCTGTCGCTGCCGCCGTCATCGCCGCTGCTGCCGCCGCTGCTGCTGTCGCTGCCACTTCCGCAGCTACCGCGGCCGCTGGTGCCGCCGCCGCTGCCGCCGCTACCGCGGCTGCGGCGGTCGTCCTCGCCGCCGCCCACATCGACCGTGCCGGTCGACGTGGTAGATGGGGCGACGCTCGCGCTCTCCCTGCTCGAGGGGGCGCCATCGCCAGCGTCGCCCGCGCCCGACTCCTGGGGCGCGGCCGGCGGTGCCGCCGGCGCTGCGCGCGCGGGCGGCCCCGCGGGCCCTGGGGCTGCCGTCGTGCCAAGGTTGAAACCTGGTCCTCTATCCACAGGTTCTCCCTCCGCCCTCCCTCCACCTTGGCTCGATGCGCCCTCCCCAACCTCGTCCTCCTCAGTCGCGAATTTCTCTTCCACCTCTGCGATGGGAGCCAGCGACCGGGGCAGGGCGGCGGGGGCGGCGGGGGCGGCGGGGGCGGCGGGTACGGTTGCCAGGTGAAGTTGCGAGTTGTGATCGCTTGGCGTTTTTCGTTCAGGATGCGCACGCAATCACGGTTTGTGTTGATTCCAGGGCCGAGGTAAAAACACTTTTTTGCTTTCGGCTCTGACTTGTGCGTGCGCTTGACCTTGTATACGGCGGGTTTGAGGAACGGGTACGTCGCCTCTGGGGGAGGTGGGTGCCCGTGCCACATTTCGTACGGCGATTTCTTGTCCGGGTTGGATGTGGTGGAGGTGCAGTTAAGGGCGTTGCATGCCCAAGCTGTAGCTTCGGCCCAAAGGGAGGGGTAGCTCGGCGCTTCGGGGTAAAGAATCGGCGCTTGTATGCGCGCGGCTAGTGCTGCATCCTTGATCAGTCCCAGTGCTCTCTCAGCTACACCGTTGTATTCTGGGCTGTATGCGGGGGTGAACTCCTGCTTGATGCAGTACTTGCGGCACAGCTTTCCGAACTCTCCCTCGAAAAACTCTCCTCCGTTGTCAGACCGCACGACCATGACCTCGGATGGGGCTCCGTCTGCCCGGTTTTCCGCTAGGTATCTCTCGAATGCTTCTGCAGCGTCTGACTTGTTTTTCAAGAAGTAGACGCGGTTCCACCTCGTGCAGTCATCCCTTACAATGAGAGTGTACCACTTCCCCCCCAAGCTCTGCACCCTTGCCCTCCCACTCAAATCCACAAAAACTCT